AACACCAGACGATCCTTCTAAACGAAGCGGCCAACTTTCGCGAACGTTCACCCGTAGGAAGTTACGAAATCGCAATCGGCGAACGAGGAGACGAAATCGGAGACGAATGGCAACGTAGCTCCTGACCACTCCAATTCCCATTAGCTCGCCTCCGGCGATATTAATAGGCGCGGGTGCAAAACGTCCGCGGCGCTCGTCAAACGCGACGTGTTTGCAATAACGTCGTAACTTTATTATCCGCCTCAGGGATTGGTCTTTTAGTATCGACGCACAGCGGTCCTGCCGTTTATTTGACTAACGGGGTGAGATGCGCGCGGCCACTAGGAAACGGTCTTTGAAGTCAAAAGGTCGAGTAAACCTCCGCCGGCTAGAGGCTGCGCCTTCGCCTCAGTACTTTTCTCTCTCTCTCTCNCCCCCCCCCCCTTCTCTCTCTATGTTCGCAGCGGCGTTCGCGCCGTCCTTCCGCCGGAAACCGCCACCGGGAATTATAGATCCAATAAAAATAGAGCGACGTGACGTGATGAATTGGCGAAATTGCGACGAGTGTTATTTCAACTCACGTGCTGCACTTCGGTCCGAATCGAATCGGGTACTATCTTTAAATTGTTTGGGGCCATGTGTTCCGACAGAAATCGCAGAGTTCCCGTCAACGTTCGGTGGCGTCACGGTGTGACTATAAAATTCGCAGCGGCACCGTGCGCGCTCATAGTAGCGCGAGGAAGAAAAGTGCGAAATTTTCTCCCGATGAGAAAAATGTCGATCCACTGAATCGCACTTGTAGATGAGATTCAGCCGAGGGCGCGCGTCGTACTCGCGAGTTGTTCGCGAACGCGTCGTAACCATATAGTCAGAAATAAAATGTGAGGCGTATTTCGAGGTTCCCATAAAACGCGGTGGTCCGTGGATTTATTTGAACAAGAGCTTGAACAAGCAAAATGTATAAAATTGCACGTAAACGTCCGCCCTTATTTCTGCAAGCGTATCACCTCCACTCTCGCGTTTTCTCCCCCCCTTCCCCCCCCCC